GGACACGGCTGACTTCAGCAGAATACACGCCTGTAATCGAGCACTTCGAAGTCGAAGCCAAGTACCGCGAAGCATTCGACCAGCTCAAATACTCCCTCCTCGACAAAATCTCCAACCCCGCCACCCTCGAAACCCTCTCCACAAAGTTCTACCAATGCTTCGTCGAGACTCTAGACCAATGCATCGCCAACGCGCAAAGCATGCCCTACACAAACCGCAGCAACAAAAAGAACGACATAATCCGCTCCCAAACAACACAAAGCATTCGCAAACCCCGCGGTATCATGCCTCGCCCCGACTCCGGCGTTGTCATGGACGATGGATCTGAAGAGAGCGGCAGCGTGATGCTTGGGCATAGAGACAGCGTGCGGACTGTTAGGACTGCGCTCAGGGGAAGTCAAGTTCCCGAGACCGTTAATGAGGTAGTTCCTGCTACTGGGTTCGAGGGGCTGATGATGGGGATGGATGGGGCGGACGTGCAGGCTTGGAATAATGGGGTTCTGTATCCGCAGATGATGCCTGAGCAACTTATTCCCACGGGGGGTATGACGCCGCAGACGGAGTTTGTGAATTGGGGGCAGATATATCCTGGTTTTGATACACTGGGAAACGGTGTTAATGGGTTTACGGGGTTTAATGGACAGCAGTAATGGGGCCAGGCTGGGCTGGGCCTGGTTGGTGTAACACTTCTTGTATATGACTTTGTTTGGATGATGAGACTGTGATCTCAATAATCAACATCACTCCAGTTCTCAATGGGGCCAATATTATCTTCGCAAAAATACACTTGGCGCGTTCAGGTCAACTTTAGCAGAGAACATCCTAAAATTTGACTATTTGAAACTTGTGGCTGAGGGCGTAAATCAGAACAGAGAACTCAGTGCCTTGCTAAGGTTGCTTTCCTTGTTATATTGGGCGGTTAGAGTCAGCGACTTGGAGGTGTGCATGTCTGGCACTGGATTCTTGATGTGGCGAGCTGAACTATTCAGCCGTTCCAAATCAGGCAAGCAGCGGCCAAATAGGCAGAGAGAAAGCACCTCTTTGGAAGCTGAACACCCTCAAACAGTTAGACCTGCAACTGGATTGTGATCAAAGAGTTTCGAATGTGATAACTTTGCATGGATTTTCAGCTGCTCAAACTCTCGGGCACGCAGCTGACCCATATAATGGTCTAGCCAGCTATAGATTATGCAATCCCCCGTTTTTAGAAGTGCCGCGTCGCTAGTCCGGCTGTGGCTTGCGTAGTCGCCGTATATTCATCCAATGGGGAATGGAACTTCGGCCAATATGTCTCAGTCGACCACTTCACATACATTGGGCAAAGCCCAAGAGAAAGCCACGAATCTGCTATAAAGAGCCCAAAGATTGGTTTTTCTTTCCTAATAATATCATCGCTTCTCTTTATCAAATATTACCTTTGACCATAGAACATTATGGATCTCCAAAACCTATCCGCAGCAGAGCTCGTCCAAAAGTTCGACAATGATCCAACAAACACTACCCTGGCTGAAGAAATTCACCGTCGCACAATCGACCCATCGCTGAACGGAGAACTATTCCAAGAAATCAAAAACCTCAAAGACTCCATTGAAGGGGTCACCAAGCCTCCTGGCGATGAGTTTGTAAGACCTCGGCCCGGCCCTAAAACATCATGGGAGAATTGTATCGGCCAGCAAAAATGCACTCCCAAGTCCTTGCGCTATCCCAAGGGATTATCAGACCTCGTCCAAGCTGTCAAGGATGGTAGGGATCAGAAACTCAATGTTAGAGCCGTGGGCTCGGGACATTCGTTCTCGAACATTTGTCCTACTGATGGGATTCTTCTTGATCCTCATGGGATGAATAAGTTCTTGAAGCTGAGCCCCGAGACATTGAAAGATCCTTCTGAAGCTTCGGATCATGTCTTGGTTGAGAGTGGCATTACGATCAAGGATTTGAACTCGCAGCTTGACAAGATGGGCAAGGCTCTTGCGACTATGGGAGCGTATGATGGACAGACTCTTGTCGGAGCTGTTACAACCGGCACTCATGGCAGTGGTAAAGATTCTGGAAACCTAGCCAGCCTTGTTCGAGCTATCATACTTGTCTCTGAGACTGGAAAGGTTTATCAGATCGAGCCAAAGGATGGAATCACAGATCCTGCCAAGTTCGTCCCGGGCGACGCTCAGGAACTCAAGCAGGATGATGATTGGTTCCAAGCAGCTCTCATCGCAATGGGCTGCCTCGGTCTTGTCTACTCTTACATCATCGAAGTGGTACCAACATTCTTCCTTAGCGAAGTCCGGGCATTGACGACCTGGCAAGATTACAAGTCACAACTCGCAGGGGGTCTTGCGTCTGCTCCTCTGCAGAATCACTACTTCGAGATTGATCTCAACCCTTATGAGACAGTTGGCCGCAACATCGCCGTCACCACCATCCGCACATGCTCAAATGCTACGAAACGCGAAGGCGGCCGTGGCTTCGACAACTGGCTCGCCGGCCTCCTTGCCCAACACCACTGGGTCGAAGACATCCTCGTCTGGATCCTCAACCGCTGGCCGCTCCACAGCCCAGGCATTATCACCACCGCTATGAAAAGCCTCCCCGTGAAGCACTACATCGACAAAAGCTTCAAAGTCCTTAATATCGGCGCCGTCGACGACGTAAAGGCCTACGCCATGGAACTATCCTTCGACGCCAACAAGGACATAGTCTCCATCGTTGATCGTATTCTCGCGCTGTTCCAGAAAGCAGCTGCTGAGAAGAAGTGGTTTCTGGCTGGGCCGTTTGCGCTGCGGTTTGTTAAGGAGTCTAGTGCGTTTTTGGCACCACAGCAGGGGAGGACGACGATGATGGTTGAGATGGATATGTTGTTTGGGGTCAAGACGGGGGAAGAGCTGTTGAAATTTATGAGACAGGAGTTGTGTGAGGGCGAGGAGGGGAAGGATGTTAGGGTTCATTGGGGGTTGGATTTGGATACTGTTAAGAAAGGGGACTTGGAGAGGATGTATCCTGAGTCGGAGAGGTGGTTGGCTGTTTATAAGGAGCTGAACTCGACGGAGATCTGGAATAGTCCTTTCACGGACCGTCTGGGGATTTCTATGCCTATGTAAATCAATATCAGACCATTTTGATGGAATATTAGGAGTTTAAGTATAAGCGAATATTCTATTATGGCAGATAGTCTTAAGCTCTCGATTGTCTTGCGATCATTTCCTTCACTTCCTTGTCTAAATATTCTAGTGTTTTCGCTAACTTCCCGTGGGAGAAGCCGGCTTCAAAAGACTTGATGCTAGTATAGTGCTTAACTAACTCGCGTGTTGTCGTACAGTAACGATCGTTACACCAGGTGATATTCTGAGTCTCAGAGTCCTCAAAGTGGCCGTAACTGCTTGGGTCTAACATCTCAATCCATTTTGATGGTCTGATATTGTCTCGGCTGTACGGCAATTCAAAGCGGTAACTTGCGTCAACCATGTTTCTCTCTTGATCGTAGTAAACATTAAACCCACAATCGCAGGTACATTCAAGCCGTGGTGCCTCGTTGGGCCATGCATAATCTCTGAACTGATCTGGTTGAAATAGGCGGTCTGGAGTGGTTTGAAATGCTGGGCAAAGTGATGACGAATATAGTGCATGTCGTTGTCTGGTTTTCGATATGCATTGGTCCATGAAAGAGCTGCTAGAGTTGGGACCATCTAGTGCTGCGGTCCATCTGGCCGCCACAAAGTCGAATATCGGCGAGTCGTTGAGAAGGAAGTACTGGATTATGGCGCCAGGGCATGGGCATGTCTCTTCTTTGCATTTAAGATCTACTGATTTTCCCCCATCCCGCAGAGAACGGATGTCCTCCAATGAGAGTTTCAGATGAGGACAAACACGCAAATATCCTTCGTGTGCGATACAGGCTCTGGACGACGACGGCTTTTGGCGGGATGACTGAGAAAAGAGTATTGCGGGATGTTCGCATTCACACCCCGTACAGTATAAGCGATCCATTAACCTGGCAACGCGCTCAGAATATCCAGGAGCAGCTCTAGCTATCTGGCAGGATCTGCAATACCGAATAGAAGCAGAACCATCGCCGCATGGCAGTGCACCGCCATCAGAACCGGTATCGTCTTGTGAATCTAGTGTCTGACCCGAGAGTGATGTCTTATCGGAGTAGAGCTCGTTTGTACTGCTTGTGATATCTTGGATATGATTTGTTTCTGATCTCGCGAGAAGAAACTCTTCATCGTCTTGTACGGCGCTGGCGTTGGCGTTGCTGCGACGGGACCATGGGGTACGTCGACGCAAAAATGAGAATACCGAGCTTTGAGAGTCTGCCATCTTTTGTAAAAGTGGTGGTGTAAGAGTTAAAAGAATAGACTTGCAGGGCAAGGGATACCCCAGCAGCTGCCAATAAGGTTACTGAGTGAGTCATCATAAAAGCATATTATTCTGATTTTAATTAGGAGACTTATCTTTATGGAGGCTATACGCATATTGCCTTTAGAAGCCAAAAGTTAATTAGTATTTTTTAGTGTGTTGGCTTAATATATCTCGTTGAGATATCATAAGCTTTAACTATCAATCAATCAACAATTAACAAAACGTGCCCTTATTATGTGTGGTGACAACCTCAAGTTTAACCTCACATCGAGCAATTTGCCCAGTTTAAATGGAGGTCTTGAAACAATACTTACCTTATATTTTATTCCTACCTGGCAGCAGCTCTAATACACCGTACATCAACAATTTCAGGTCCCGCTAATGCCAGCTGTACCTGCCGTAACAGCGATGGCTCTTGCCATACAACGTTGTTCTTCAATTTCTCCTTCTATGTTTATCTTTTACTTGTCTTCGTTGCCAATTCAATCTGTTATACGATTTGTTTCTAAATTAGTTCAAGACACTACACAAAACCTCCCGTCCGAGTTCATAAACCTCCCGTCTAATCCTACTATGGTTGAGACAATCACCTTAGCCTGACCTCTTGGCAGGCCAGTATCGCAACTGTCACATTGCTGGTAGCCATGTGCAATCTTGCCTGGACTATACACTCGAAATTTGAAGACTGGAGGATTGCCAGGGAAGATAAGAGAGAGAAACAGCAGGCAGAGGCTAGAAATAACGCGTCTACTGCTGAAAAGCTGGTGTCTTTTGAGGAACGAATTGCTGAGCTGGAGAAGAAACTGCAGAAGGGCCTGGAAACGGTCACTAAGGATGCTGAAAGCGTCGATAGAGGGCGGCAGAAGACCCTCCTTCGGTAAGAATATGTTTTGTCTTCTATATGAGAACTTGACTAATTTATGGAAAGGCTAAACGACAACCATGCACGCATGAATGCTCGCTTGGAAGAGCTGGAGAAGAACAAGTGCAAGTGCAATTTGACTAAGTCAAACGACATCGACCCTCTCACCGCAAAGATCAGTGAGCTCGACACTGTGAAAATGAAGCTGTCTACGATCAAGCCTTGTCTGTGTCGCAGTAAGATCCCGCGCCCGGTACTATCCCTGGGTAGTTCGCGTCAACGTACCCGCCTCCACCCCAGCAAAAGTTCCGTCACTATCAGAAGTTGTTGCAGCGCTTAATGCTGGCTAATTGAATGAAAGTTGTTTAATGCAGCGGAAGCTTGGAGGCGATAATTATCTTGGGAGATGTTGTTGCGCGGGACCCAGTTCATAAGATAGTTGTATGTTTCATCCTGTGCGTGAATTTCAACGGTGGAGATAGAGCGTGCAGTAATGGATTCGGACCAAGATTCAAGAGCGTATTTTATCAAAAAGGCGAAGGCGGCGAAGTAGGGGAGATATGTCATTCCAGGAAATATCATTTCCAAGAGGCCGATGAAGAGGCCTTGGCTCATGATGCTGTCTTGTTGGTCTTCCATCTTGGCGATGCTTTGAGATGAATGATTCGAGTGATCTGAAAAGACAATTGTTTGAGTCGACGGGAACACTTTTAATTATTCTGCGATTATCTACAGCTTTGGTGCCTGGTTTCGTGAATGACATGCGCCGAGTTCACAGACCTGCCGTGTTAAGACAAGTATACATTGGAGCCAATCATGTAACAGGAAACCTTCTGGTGTGTGTGCAGAGATGCAAACCCGAGGCTATATCCCTTTATATACCTCTTGGTCTCTTCCCTTTGCAATGCCCTAGGGCTTGCAGCAAGATGTAATGGTTATCGTGAAAGCTTCTGGGTAAAAGCCTATATTGAGGAAAAAAATACCGTGTTTTTACTTATTACCTGTGTTTGCAGCCTAAAGGTTAACCTTATAGGCCGCAGTCATCCCGTAGATGGAAGCCAGAGTCGATCCAACATTTCGAAATCCGCTATGACCATGTCGCGGGGCTTGGGCAGAGGGACTCGGCTTTTTATTTGTTTCAAGCCACTCCGTATGAGTCGGAAGACAGTAAAACTATATAGGCACCTGTGATGCTTGCGTAGTATCTTTTGACGCAACATTCATGAGGCCCTAACTGATCCCCAGAGGCGAAAGAAAACTCAAGACCTCGATCCTAATCGACAAAAAGACTCAGGTAATTTAGCCTGGACTTAAGTAAATCTTTACTCAGTTGATTTCGGCATCCTTTTCAAAATCTGTTTTCTTGTCGACAGCTCATGGGTGTTTCTGTCTCGGTGGTCTGCGGACTGAATGAAGAAGTTTGAAAGTTATTCAATGAAAGTACTATCGCTATTTGTTCCTCTAATCAACGCCAGACCATCGCCACGAAATATTCAACATATTGTACCTGGCCTATCCTTTCCTTTTGTTCTTCCCAGTTATCCAATTTTCCCAACCGTTCACACAATTTTGCCAACTATCTCCTGACTTAGTTCCTAGGCTCAACAATCATTGGCCCAACACCAGAAGACTTCTCCTTACTCTCCCTCCCCTCCAAAGAACTGCCATCCTCCTCATCCTCCGCCTTCTTACTCTTCCTAAACAACCTCATAAATCTTGCCCAACCCCTTGCCATGCAGTTATAAGCCCACACAAAAGGCGGCGCAAAGAAGTACACAACCTTTGCAAACCACTCATCAGGGAAGATCCTAACCAGCACACCCCACGGGAGACTAAACGCGGCGATGAGAATAGAAATAGCCCACTGCACACCATTCAGACCATCAGTGTCAATGTCGAACACACGGCCTCCGATGAAGATGATTCCGATTTGCAGACCGATCATGATGGCGTTGATGAGGATGAAGAACAGGTTGCGGTGGATGCCGACAAACACGTTGAACTTGTTGTCGAGACGACGGCAGTTGAGCTCGTTGAAGATCTGCATCCAGACGAACATGTTGAAGATGATGGTATCGAGCTGGAGCTTTTCGGACGCGATGGAGGTGTTGTAGCCGAGGATGGAGTCGCCGGCAAAGTAGAGAACCAGGACGACGACGACTTGGAAGATGGACTGGCCGATGATCATCTTCCACATCTGGGGTTGTTAGAGGTGAGGGTGAATGGAAGGTGAGAGGTGACTTACGTTCATGGTGATGAGGGGGGCGGACTTGGGTTGGGGAGGTCGATCGAGGATGGAGTCAGTTGGGGGGTCGGTGGCTAAGGCGAGAGCAGCCATGGTGTCCATGATGAGGTTTATCTACAGAGGTCAGTACCACCAACGACATCTCAGATGGAGTAAATTACCCAGAGAAGCTGGACTGCCTTGAGAATAGGCTCCATCTTGTCGTCGTACATGGATGTAACAAAAGACAACAAAACGGCGGTGATATTGACAGTGATTTGGAACTTGAAAGGTTAGTACGCATTCAACCTCAATCACAAAAGACATACCTGTAGGAACTTCTGCACCGCATCGTTGACAGCCCGTCCCCACTTCAGCGCAGTAATGATGGAAGCAAAGTTATCATCCATAAGAATAATCTCAGACGCCTCCTTCGCAACCTCGGTACCCGAAATACCCATCGAGAATCCGATATCCGCTGCCTTGAGAGCAGGCGCATCATTAGTACCATCACCAGTCACAGCGACTGTTTCGCCCAAGACCTTTAGGCGCGTGACGAGAACACGCTTGTCGTCGGGTGACGAACGAGCTAGGACCTGAAGACGAGGGATAACCTTGTCAAGCTCCTCCTCGGACAGTTTTCGGAAGTCTGGACCCTCCATGACGATGCCGTCGGTGAAGATACCGCACTCTGTCGCGATGGCTCGTGCTGTGACGAGGTTATCACCCGTGACCATACGTGTTACAACACCAGCGCGTCTGGCATTCTGCACAGCTTGTGGGACACCTTCTCGAACAGGATCTTGGATACCGACGATACCGAGAAGCGTCAAGTCACCCAGATTCTCAAGATCAGGCATCTCCTCAAAGTCCTTATACACCAGGCCAATAGTACGCAGCGACTTCCTCGCAAAAGCCATGATCGCATCGTCAGCAGCCTTGCGGTCCAAAGCTTCGATAGCACCAGTAGATGGGTTAACCTCAGTAGAGCAGAAGCTAACCATGATCTCCGAAGCACCCTTGATGAGAACCCTGTATCCAGCTTGGACCTTGATCACGGCCAGCATGTACTTCTTGACGGAGTTGAAGGGCTCGATGAGGACGATTTGTGCGTTCGCTCGTGCTTCGGAGAGGGATTGCATGCCGAGGTGGTCTTTGGCGAGCTGGAGCAGTGCAGTTTCGGTCTTGGAGCCAATGAACGCGGCGTCGCCTTCGTTGGTGCCCTCGAAGGCGGTGGAGTTTACGGCGACGGATTGGGTGATGAGTTTGCGGGTTTCGGGGGAGACGGTGGTGGCCCAGGCGGGAATGTCGGAGGTGAAGCTCGAGGAACCGAAGCGGCCGGCCGTGACTGTCATTTTATTCGTGGTCTAGGATGTTAGAAGAGTTGTTCTTTTGGGAGGATGTAACGTACCAAAGTTCCTGTCTTGTCGGAACAGATGCAAGTCGCGTTACCCATAGTCTCGCACGCTCTGAGGACACGCACAAGGTTGTTTTCCTTCAAGAGACGTGTCGTCGCAAACGCAAGCGCAAGAGTGACGGCAAGAGGTAAACCCTCGGGCACAGCGACAGCAATGATGGCAATAGCCACGACAAGAAGATCAACAAAAGTAGAGGCCTTCTCCTCAGCTGGTCTATCATCACCAGGAAGAGAAGCACAGAAGCGGAAGAGCAGAATGAAGAACATGAGGAGAGAAGCACCACCACCAAGCTTAGCGATAGCGACGGCAAGACCTTCGAGCTTCTTCTGGAGAGGTGTAGACTCGATGTCTGTTCGGACAGACATCATGATCTTTCCAAAACTGCTGTTCACGCCGACGGAGGTAACGACAAAAGTGCCCATGCCTTCGAGGACACGAGATCCAGAGATGATGAAAGGATCAGGTTCCTTAGTGCGCATAGGATCGTCGACGAAGCACTTGGCACCGGGAGTCTTCTTCAATGCGTCAGATTCACCAGTGACAGTGGACTCGTCGCACTTGACGTTATGGCCATCGATGAAGATACCATCAGCGGGGATCAAATCACCAGGCTCAAGGTTCATAACATCGCCAACAACAACATCAGCGACGTTGACAAGCATCGACTTGCCCGATCTGATAACCTTGACCTCACGATCATCCTTCTTGGTGTTGAGCTTGACAAACGCCTTTTCCTTCTGCCAATCGTTATGCGAAGCAACAACCACAACGATAACAACAGCGCCGAGAATCGCAACACCTTCGACCCAATCAACAGGTGTAGGATCACCAGGTTGATGCGACACACCAAAGGTCTCGTACAACCCAAGCGCAAGAGAAATAGTACCAGCAACAGTCAACATGATGAGCACCGCTTCCTGAAAAGTAATCCATGCCAATCGCCAGATTGACTTTGGTTTCTTGGCTGGAAGCTGATTGCGACCAAAGACTTTGATGCGAGGACAGTTCTGGTTGTTCAGCTCATCAACGCTAAGACCTGCTTTCAGATCGACGTTGAGGCTGCGCGCCAAGCCCGGCAGCCCGCCGAGACCCTTGAGGACATCGAGGGATTTGGGGTCGAGCAATTGGTTCAAGACCTCAGGGCTGTGATTGAAGGGGTTGTTGGGATCGTGGGGGAAGCGCTTCTCGTTGCCAGCATCGAGATATTGGGGGATTTCAGCGGTCTTGATGCTAGGAACAACAGTGGTGTCTCCAGCTGAGGATATGGTGCCTACTTCGCTGATGGAGCGCTGGCGAGGATCCAGTAGGGCTTTTGGGTCAAGATGGCCAGACATGGTAGCTTAGTCCTAGGCCCTTGGCAAAATAGAGGATAGTAGAGGAATGAGTGAGCTCCAAACCAGTGAGCTGCAATGGGTGAGTCATGGTGCTTGAGTCCGTGGGGTTTTTTCACTTTATATTTAATGTCCATCACCCAGCTAACATCATTTTACCGCGTCTACTTTAAAAGCTTAGTTTGAGAAACTACAGGGGAGCTGTTGTCGGTACCAACAAGAGGTGTACAGTCCCACCAATGGATCAACTCTAAAAGATCTGATAAACGAAACAAGTGCTTATATCATCGGACAGCGGAAGTCCGAGATCTCAATGGAGCTAAGATCTGCGCCGGTGAGCAGGGGAGCTCTTTTTCTCAGCCAATAAAATTTAACTA